TTTTTTTTTTTTTCCTCCTAGAGACATGGACTGCAGCAAACAAGCAAACACCTTGCATCGTTGTCTAGTCCTTTTAGCATGTGCATATGAGAAGGAAGGAAAAAAAGGGCCTGAAAATTATTCAGACACAATGCAATAGACATAAAGAGAGACAAAAAGACAGAGAGAGAGAGAGGGAGAGAAAGAGAGAGAAGGGCGAAGAGAGAGAGGAGAGAGGAAATGCTGAGAGGGAGAGGGGGCTGTCAGCGCAGATAAATCTGCATATGGAAATCAGGGTTATCCTGGGTACAGTTTTATTTAACCATGATGTACTGTTTTTTTAATTAGACGGGAATTTAGTGGAGGAAATGAGGGATTCTTACACACACAAGAGCAGATGAAGCATTTTTAAGGGCAGGAGTTTTTACAGCAAGCTGCAGCACTCACAGCAAAACTTTTTATAGCAACTTTCTGGTTACAAACAAAAGTTTCATGCACTGCTGAAAATTTACACACACACACAAACAAAAGCAAAACTGGGAGGGCAGTTTAAAATGAAATGGAATCAAGACAATCCAAAGTAGTGCGTTCATCACTTGAAAGAAGACCTAGAAGCACCAAGTCCACGATACTACTTAGTCTCTGACACACGACACAGTATTTTAAACTAAGTTTATGCGAGGCACAGCTTCAGAACTTTCTCCCCGGCCCCTGCGCTGTGGTGATTGTCACAGCCAATGAGGACTTCTGAGGCAATGGGACCAGCCAATGCCCTGCTTGGATTCCCGATACACTGCAGACTAAATCCTGTGCCTGGGGAGAGCGGCGTGCCCACAGTTGTGAGCAGCACCTGGCCAGCTAGAGAAGGAAGGACAGAAGCATGAGTAGGACTTCTTGCCTGGGGCTGTTGGAATGGGTGAAGTGGCAGAGATGGAAAACGAGGTTCTGGCACAGGATAGCCCAGGATAAGCTGGACTCAAGGAAACCAGAAAAAGATAGCAGATAGGGGGGAAAAAGGGAAGATTTGGGAGCAGCAGCGTGCTTTAGGGGTTTACTAAAAGTTGAGACATGCCAGAATCAATTGGTGGTGGCTGCCCGGGCTGGGTATGCCTAGCAAAGCAGTAACAGTAGTAGACTTTTGGGATGGGAGCTGTGAGAGCGCAACCAACAGCAGCAGGGCTGTGGTAAGGGGCTGCTACAAAACTCATGGAAGCAGGAGAGCAAGAAGCATATTGACACTTATAATGGGCTCAGGTGCCAACGGGAAGCAGGTGCAGGACTGAGCAAGAGGAGAAAAGGCACAGGGGAGCAAGGGGCAGAACCGGGAGCAGCCAGGAGGGAGCAGTGCACGGCGAGGCTCGAGCGCTGCGCTGAGGACAACACGCACACGCAAACGCCGGACTCTACGCGCAGCCAGCAGCAACACGACCGGCCCACCGCCGCCTCACGGGCGGTGCTTCGCCCCGGGGCGGGACAGGAGGCGGGCGGGAGAAGGCAGGCGCAAGCTGACGGGCGGGCGCCTGTCCGGACAGAGGAGAGCCGGGCAGCGGGGCGGGAGGAGGGGGAGAAGGAGGAGGAGCGGCCGGGAGCCAATCGGCAGCGCGGCGCCTGCGCAGTGCTGAGTTGGCGGCGGCGCGCGGGACGCACGGAAAAGTGCTCTGGCGCGGAAGTGGAGGAGCGGCGGCGGCGGACTCCGGTGGCCCGCAGGTACCGGGCGGCGCGGGGCGGCACGGCACGGCACGGCTCTTCCGCTTCTGCCTTCCCGCCCTGCTTTTCCGTGACTGGCGCAGCTGTTGCCTCACCCTGCCCGGTCTTGTCCTGGGCCTTGGCGGGAAGGCCTGTTAGGTTAGCAGGCGCGGCGGAAACTCGCCGTCGCGGGGAGGGGAGAAGGCTGAGCGCAGGGCGTGGGGCGGTTTGGATGCCTTGAATCGAGCAGGCTTTCGTTGAGTTGAAGCAACAGCGAGTGTTGCTGTGCCTTATTTAACGAAGCTGACGCAGAGCGTTCCCTTTACCTGCGTGCTTCTGCCGTGTTGTGCTGTCGCACCTATGCACCTGCATTAAACCGAGTTGCTGAAGGCGTCCTGTCAATTATTAGTGCTTTTAATTATGTTGTTTGCTTATTATTATTGTAGAACTCAGTGGCACCTGTTGCCAAGTTCTATTGTTTCAGTGTCTCATAGAAAACATTAGTTCATGAGGGTTAAGTAGGTGATGAACTTTTTTAGGGTGTGATCTTTCTTCTCAGGAATCCTGAAAAGAAACAAAAGCAAAAGGAGAAGTCAGAACTTTTATGGAAGTTCAAATTCAACTGTATCAGAATCAGCCCTAGAATAATCTTATAAACTTGTAGGATTTCAGCATTTCAGGGTTCCATAATTATCACCTTAGGTATATTTAGTGCTTCTTAGAACTTGAGCTGTAGTATTGCTTTAAGTCATGACCAACTGGGAGCTTGTAATACAGGATGTGTTTTCATAGAATGCCTTGTGTTGGAGGAGACCTTATAGGTTGTGTAGTTCCACCCACCTCCCTACCGTGGGCAGATGCTTCATATTGCAGTTACTCTGGTCACAGAACAACTTGCATTTCATTTCTGCCATTTCTTTTACCCTAGTGCTAATGCAACTTTGTGACAAGTCAGTTTAGATTGGATATAAGAAAAATGGGTTTTACAATAAAGGTGGTGAGGCACTGGAACAGGTTGCCTAGAGAGGTTGTGGAAGCCCTGTCCCTGGAGGTGTTCAAGGTCAGGTTGGACGGGGCTGTGAGCACCCAGATCTACCTGCAAGATGTTCATTGCAGAGGATTTGGACTAGATGACCAAGAAGGGTCCCTTCCAACTCTAATTATTATATGTCTCTGTGATAATTTAAACTAGAACTGAACAAAACGGGTGTACTTTTTTGTAAGATTAGCTTTTTGATTATATAACTTGCTGAAACTGTTTTGATTCTGGAAGATGAAGTTGCACAAAACAGCAGAATTATGCAACAGGGAATGGGACCACGATTTCCTTTTTGGTGGTGTCTCTCAACTTGGTATTGCAGTTAGGCTGATATTGTCCTCATTTGAGCTGGTGGGTTATGAAGAGCTGTAACAATGAAAAAATTATTTGAAGAAATGCTGAAGTTTTTCATTTTAATTGTTAATTATCTGTTTATTTTCTGGATTAGATGGAAACAGTAGACGATGACTTTATGGATTCCTTCACACCTCCACTTCTCAGTGACAGCCTGCAGATGGCAATGGAGGTGGAGAATGAGAAGTCAAATCCTCCTTGTTTTTCCTGCATTTTTGACAACCAAAATGGAGGGAAAAGCTTCTCTGCAGAATCTTACTTAGCAAGTGGGTCTCTTAAAAGGTATGTTGGTGCTTTATGCTCTCCTGGATGCTGTCCCTTTTGTTCTCCATGTGACAAAAGTAAATCTGCTTTGCCCAGCTTTTCAGAGCCGCTGATAGGCTCTTCTGTAGCTTTACTTCCACCTTTCTCAGAGTTCTACCTTTGTATTCCTTCTGGATTTAAGCTTCAGAAGTCATGTGTGTAATAAGGTTTGGGTTTTTTTGTGATATTCTAAAACATTGCTTTAGTTAATACCTTCTCTCTCTTTGTGATACACCTTTAGTTTTCTGTTATATGCTGATTCTGCAGGGATTGGTTTGCTTTTTGTGCAAACATAATTTTTCTTTTCTACTTTGTTTATACTTCTGAACCCATTTGCTTTTGTTTTTTACTTTTATTATTTTTTTGACCTTCCGCAAGCTTTTCTGTAAATTTTTAACAGGATTAAAACCCCTAATCCCTACCTTATTACTCTTATTTTTAGTGGATCAGTGTATGTTCATTCACGTTTATGTCAAGTACATGAATGTGAGAACCTGTGTCTTTGTGAATGTATCAGTAGTAGATTCCACAGTGTCATGGAATGCATTCTATGACAGAAACAATTTCATATGAAAACACACTCAGGGGCTTGTACAGGTTCACCAAGTCACTGTGGTTGTGATAATTCTGTCCTTTATTCACCTCATCTACTTGGATTGTAAACTACTGAAAGCTTGCATATGAGAGACTCTTCTGTCTTCATTACCTAGATCAGGACTAACTTGATTTAATTGCTGCAGGCTTCAAAACAGAACAATGTTTAGACAGTTACCAAGTGAGCTACAGATGTTGTGGGAGACTGACTCAATTATTCAACAGATGCTCTTTTTGTCTGTGATTGGGAACTGTACTGGGAATACTGCATAGTTCAGGCACGAAATAAATTTGGTTATAATGTAACGAGAACCAAGTGTTTGCCCAGGTTTTTAAAATAGACATATTTCTTAAATCTTATTGAATTCTGTTGAATTATGTTACGAAAGTTCGAGGGAGAATTCTGAAATAGTTTTTTAAATCATTGTTGGCTTTATTGAATGATTTGCTGTAGCTTTTAAGCAATCTTGAAGTGCACTAGTGAAATATTTTTATATTTACACAATTGGTCTACTGAGAATGTATTTCAGGAGAAGTGTATACCCTGTAGCTGGTTATTAGTCCTGAGACAGATTTGAAGCATAAGGTTACAGTGATCTGTGTTATCTAATGTTTGGCGGCTTTGTTACAAGCAGGAGGAGAATCGACTCTTTGAAAGGTTGATATATATAAAATAACTGCAGGACAAGGGGAAGTGGTTTTCAGTTGAGGGAGGGGAAATTTAGGTTGGATGTCAGGGGGAAGTTCTTTACTGTGACAGTGGTGAGGTGCTGGAACAGGCTGCCCAGAGAGGTTGTGAATGCCCTGTCCCTGGAAGTGTTCAAGGCCAGATTGGATGGGGCCATGGGCAGCCTGGTCTAGCATTAAATGGGGAGGTTGGTGGCCCTGCCTGTGGGGCAGCAGGGTTGGAGATTCGTGAGGTCCCTTCCAACCCTGACCATTCTGTGATTTGTTAAGGACAATTTGTATGTTATTCTTCAGGTTGGCCCCCTGTAACGTATTAATTTTCCTTTTTCTCTAAAATGGTCTAGCTACGGAGCACAGTACATGTTTTCACAGCATTGAAACTAAAACTTGTCATATTTTATATACTATATTGCTATAAAAGGTATAACGGTTTCTTGAGAGCACTGCTACACCTTTCTATCTATAGTATAGATATTGTTGTTACATTTATAAAAATCAGTGCTTTAGATTTATTTATGTTATTACCGAGGAATACTGGATCTGTCTTACAGGGTTTTGCTGAGACTGGATCCTTCTCCCAATGACTATGAAGAAGATGCAGTAGAAATGTTTGGCTTTCAGTGGGTTACTGAAACTGCATTAGTTGAGTCCTGTGGACTTCTCTTTGGATTACTTAGGTATGTTGTTAGTGTATTTTATGATTACTCCAATGCATCTAGAATCAGCTTTTAGTCTTCCTTGTATGGAAATTTCATAGAATCATTGTGGTATGTGATGAATAAGACATGGATGGAGTTATGGAAGATGTAAATTGTGTCAGATAATTGTAGCATTATATGACTTTATTAATAAAAGTTTCTAAGCAATATGGAGCACATCTTAGCCATCATCAGGTGAAGACTGATAGGTGTGTATTACAATGGTGTTATGGTCAGTTTAGAAGACTCTAGCTTAGCAGTTGACAATCCAGCCTCTGTAGCAAGGGAGTTAGAACTAGATGATCTTTAAGGTTCCTTGAACCCAAGCCATTCAATGGTTCAATAGTATATGAGTAAACTTTGTAAGCTTTCCTTGAATAAGATTGTACTACCCATATAATTAATGTTATTTTTTGAAGATTTGAACTCCATTTTTAGTGCAAAAGAAAATTGGGGGTTACGAGTTAAATATTTTAAATACTCCATGCAGCACTTTCTTCAGTTGTTAGGATTAGAGTAGCTACAGCAATCTCTTCAGATACAATTACTCAGTGTTCGATTAATTCAGTGTAGGTATTTAGTCAGTGCAAATACACAGATTATCAATAATCATCTTTGCCTACTGATAATCCTCAGGATATGCTGCATACAGAGAGGATGGATGGAAGAGGCTTTTCCATGATTCTACAAACGTGTTATATATTTCACCATTCCCTTAATTGTAGTAGATTCTTCCATCCCTTTAGAGTATGGTCAAGAACATCATGTGAAATGTCATTTATGAAGTCTGGCTATTGAAACATGATGGCATAGATGACAGGAGGTGTATTAATTAGCTTTGCTCATTTGGCACAAGATTCTTCTTCACTGTGGTTTTAAAAAGTCATAAGGAAGCAGTTATCATAACTTAGTTACAAGTAACACTGTATCCCATTTAGCATCCAATCTGATCTGTGCAGTAACTGTTGACTTAACATCACTTTGCAGTGAGACAGTGATGTAGTTAATCTCTTGAATGAAATAATTTTTTCTTTGTAATATAAACCCCTTTGTAGTTACCTTTGAATTGCAACAGAGGTTAATGTTAAAAATATATATATATATATATTATGCCTTAATTTATTCAATCTGTTCATGTTTTAAAAGGTACTGAGCTAGTAGCAGTAATGGATTTCAACTAACTGTTTGCTATAAGAATTTGGTTGCTAAGCTGTCTTTTGATGTGACAAGTCTCTCCGCAAAGATCTTATATCTTTCAGTTGATTTTTTTTCAGTTATAAAATGGTGTATGCTTTCATTTATAGAGCATTTGACAACTGAAAGTAGGAAAGCTCTGTTTTCCAATGTAGTGATCATATATGGGAGATAAAAGTTATTCTGATTCTTGAAAACAAGGTGGCTGGGAACAGTTCAGCAGTGCAGATAATATCAGTGCTAAAATCCACACTAGTGGCAACTCAATAATTTAAGTGCCCACAATAATGAAGATTGCTAGTTAACATTTTTATAGTTTTAATACGTAATTATGTAATAGAGCATAACTACAAGTTAAAAACAATAATTGTGCAGTAAAAAGAATTCCTACCTGTGATTTTTTTTTTCTCACGTGACTGAAGATGCAAGTCACAAGATTAACAGCTAATAAGCACCAATCTTGGAGATGCAAATGGCAGAGTGGAATTAGAATTTCTTATTTAGGTTGTGACATCTTTGTTATGCTTGTCATGCTCCATTTGTGATTTTACTATATGAACTGACTATATTCCTTCTCTCAACTTAGTAGAGTCTGTTTTTTTTTCTATTTACTTCCTTCTTACTGTTTTTAACCTTCAGTCTCCAAAACCCTTTCTTAAACTCCTCCAGCTTTAGATTTCTTTTCTACATGGTTGAAATAACTGAAAAATTCACACAAATTCAGCTTTGATTCTTACACCCACTTAGGTGTTTTTTGTTTTTATGTCTAGGTTGTTTTATACAAGCAAGGAAGAACTAAGGGAAGTAATTTTAATGTGTGATAGCCTGTTAATATGCAGGTTACAACCTAAATATTTGGATCCTTGTGGGCAGTTCCTAACATTTCCATACAGTTTAGTTCTCAAGGATGTTTGATCTGCATTGGATTTAGTTCTACTGTTCTTGAATCCTTCAGTAGTTGCAGATATGACTGTGTAAGAAATGGGGTCAGACAGCTCCTTTCTCAATTTATGCAACTTTTTCTTTTGCAGTCTGTCTTATGCTTTTGTGCTTTTTGTGTATTGGGTTTAGTACTGTGTTATCTCTCTGGAGACAGTACTTGAAGGGCACTTGAAAATAACAGTTGCTGTGGAATATGATGGAGTACTTACCTACTTGCCTATCTTTTTCTTTATTTTCATTTGCTGTAGTATTTAGTAGTGACTTCTTTGAAAATACACTCTTTCTAGCTTCCAAAACTGAATTGAGTTTTTAATTTTTCTAGACACGCTCGTACTCTGCTGTAACTGTGACTCTTAATCCTTTGTGGTTAAGTTAAACAGTAGACCACTCTGGGAAGGAAGAAGGAAAAACTGCTTGCAGAATTTCATAGTGCTTGTGCACATGTTAGTTAATTTTGTACATTTGTATGTTTGCTGCCGGGGCCAACTTTCTGATTTATCCTGTGATCAAATATAAAGCTGAATGATATTTACAGGGAATGGCTTTAGGATTTTTGTTTGTGTGTATTTGTTTCCTTTTCCCTGCTATTTGGCTAATTTTTATTTGTTGTTACTGTATGTAATGGTTTTAAAAAGAAGAAAAAACTGTCCATTGTCATTCTTGTGTATTTAGGTGTGTTTATAGTCTTCCATTAATACCATCTCCCAGGTTATATTTGTGTAAGTTTTTTAGAAATACAAAGCAAGGAATATTTTGCTGTTCTATTTAAAACCTTGCTAAAATGTAGTCAAATAACTTCAAACTATATAAATATTGTATATCCTTTTATATCCTTTTAATTAGGCAACAAATATACAAACTGGAGGACCTAATAGAAATGAATTCTTCTGACTTTGGTAAGTTGAACATATTTCATTTGAAGCAGGGGTAAATATCGACTGCCTTCTCATTATAGAACTGTATTATCACATTTGTGTTTCAATTCTTTACTGAGGGCTCAGAGTGTGCCACAGAGCAACACATAACCAGCATAAATTGTAGTAAGTGTACAAGTGTAGTCAACCAAGTGATTTATGGTGATGTGAAAATAGATACTTGACGTAGCAATGTGGAAATGGTGCGAGTCATTTGGAACCAGGTCTGCCTGTTTAGGAAGGTCAATCTTGACCTCACTGACTACAGTGGGGAATTTTGTATTAAGTTGAACTGAGATGTCAATCCTATGTTAGGATTTAGCGAAACTGTTAACATAATCAGAAATTGAAACTTGCATCAAAAAAATACTAGTTACTATTTTAGTTATAAAGGTAGTGATTTGAGACTTTTTCCAGTGTTCTTTTGGCTTACATTTTAAAAAGTTAGTACATTTCTAAAGCTTAGTTTAGAGTAATTCACAGATGTTTAGAGTTATTTACAAATTTATCTTGGCAGTAGGATTGATGAAATGAGATCACTACAAAACACTTTGTTTGCAATTCATGCCTTAGTATTTAATTCACTATGTTTCGGAAGGATTATTGCACCCTTAGGCTTATTTATAAGTTTGAAGGCTGAATTTTGTAGGAAGCTGAGAAGTTCAGTAATTACTTAGAAATGCACTGTCTGCAGTATCTTCTCAGTACAGATGCTGAGAATACCACGGTGACTGTCTTTCCCTGGACAGTGCAAAATGTGGCAGAGTTTTTTACCATGCTTATTTTCTAGTACTTTACACTTTTCACTGGAGTCTGCTCAAACCCATTTGCTGTTTCTATTTGTTATGCTCCTACCAATGATCACCTCATCCTTAATCAGGCACGATGTTGCAAGCTGACTGAACACTAGGCATTAGCGTATATGTATTATTAGGTATTCAAATGGCTGCATTTAACTTAGCATGCACTAAGTTTTATTTTTCTCTAAGCAGAAAGCTACAAAATAAGATGTGGGGAAAAAGGGAGAGAAGGAAGACAAAGTGTGAGACAGCCACAGTAACTAGATAAAAGTATACTGAGCTGCAAGTGAAGTGAAGGATATGTGATAGTGAATGAAAGACCTTTAGCTTTGTAAATCTTAGGGCACTGTTCATTGATGGGTTGCTTCCCAGGAAGAGAAGTTAGAAAGTTAGTTTCTAAAAAAGTTCATCTGCTTATGAGTTTCCCCAAGAGAAAAATATGCTGTTGAATTGCTTGACACATTTTTAGAAGGTCTTTTGGAAGCAGATATGGAGTAGGGCTGTAAGGCTGAGTGATTTCTTCTAGCATTAATTGCTTATCTCTGCCACCTATCCTGAGGGATTGTATGTGATTTTTTTCTTTATATTTGGGGTATGTGCCTGTGATAATAAGAAAAAGAATGGATCACTCTGGCAAGATTGCATTTGGCAAGATGGTATTTGAAAGTGGCTGTTTGTTACCAGACAGTTACCAATTTGACTTCAGAGAAGAGTGGTGTTTCAGTGGTCTAGTTTCATTACTGTAGAGAATGCATGATATCTGTGTCACAGTGTGAGCACCATCTGCTTTAAGCTATTGATCTCTTTTACTTTAGGTCAAGCTGCCAACTTGCACTCAGAAGCAGAGAACATCAGACGTCTATGTATAGACTTCTTGCATTATGTGAAAGTTTTCATCTTCAGGTGAGACTTGTGCACTATTTACTTAATGTACTAAGCTTTGTGTAGCTGTTCCTTATCCATATTCTCATTGTATTTCTGTTTGTTCAGGTATCTAGAGCCCTCTAAAATGGAAAACGATGGAATACTCCACCCATATGAGGAACTAGAAGCACAGTTCCCATCAGTGTTGGTGGAAGAGCTTCATTCTTTGACCCTACACATTGGTCACCTTTGTGAGCTCCCTAGTAGTGTCCTGGCAGCATTTACCATTCAACATCAAGCAAAGGTTGATGGCTTTTATAGCTGTAAATTTCTTTCGTAAGAGTACGCATTCAGTTTGATGAATCTTGTCTCAATAGGAAGTAATCTTTCTTCAGAATGTTATTGAAATTGATTTTTATTTTCTTCGTTTCTCACATTATAAGCTCAGTGCCATTCCATTCTTGGCCAGCACAGCTAATGAGCTTTGGATTTTATGTTGTTTTTTTGGAATTTATTTATGTGTTATAGCTTTTAAAATTCTTCCTGCAATATACAATTAGTAATATAGGTAAATAAGTAGGCTTGTGTTAGTGTAGCATGTTTAAAAAAAATCATAATGCCTAGAATTTCTGAGCTTCCAGAAGGAGGGGCGCTTTTTTACAAAATATGATCTGAAGCATAATTTAAAATAGGAAATGATCATGCATATTAAGAAGAAAAGTGCAGGCGTGGAAGTAATACAGTATTAAACACATGTGAAATACACACATCTAAGATTTGTGCGTGTATGTTTGTTTATGGTAACTAACACTTTTGAGAAGAAAATTTCAAGGAATTTCAATCTTTGGGTTGCATAAACTCATATCTAGAGAGAAATGATCCACCAAGAAGCAGCACTGGGGATCTTTCTGTTAGCTTAGCTTGTCAGTTAGCTTCATCAGATGCTACTTCTGATGAAAGAAACAGCAATTCGAAGCAATCTTTAAGGAATAGAGAATAGTGAAACTTTGGAATTACTTTAAAAGCATACTTTATTTTAGCAGTCTGTGTGCTACCTAGTATTTTACTTGAAAAGTATCGAGACAGTGTGTTTAATTTATGGTTTAGATAATATTAAATTCTTCACAAATGTTCTCTACAGATAGGATTAATTATCATGAAGGCATTTGTTTTGTTCTTTTCCCTTTGATTGAATGTCTTGTGTATATGTGGTTTGTTCATACGTATCAATGCTGTTTATTGCAGGCAAAATATATGCCCATTTTCACTAAGTCTTGATGCAACATACAGAATTCACTAAAAAACCATTACAGTAAATAAATGTGTGTATTTGTAATCACAGATCTTTCCACCATCATGGCACTTACTACATCTCCATTTGGATATCCATTGGCTAGTGCTAGAAATTCTTCATGTACTAAGTGAAAAAATGATGAGTAAGTATGCAGCGCTTTTTTTTTTTTAACTTTTTTTTTAACTTTTTTTTACTATGTTATTTTTATTTCTTGTCTTAATTCATCCAGAATAATTTATCACTTTCAGTAGTTTTTGAGCACAGCTATATTTAATTGTCTAAATTGAAATTTGGTGAAGGCAATCTTTCCTTTTCAAATCTTATCAAACTTTGGTCTCTGCATCTTTATTTCATTGTGCCAACGAGTCTGTGATTAAACTTTTCTTCATATAGCTCAAATGGAACAAAATAGTATTTGGAGTTGTTATTTTTTATCAAAATTTATACAGTTTGTTTTCAACTATTGCTTGCTGTGTACTTGATACTTAATGTCAAGGCACTTTTTGACATTGTAAATAAAAATACATTTTGCAGAGATTCACAATGTATAACAATGAGCAGTAAACAAATGTATGAAATGTTTCAATGGGTGGACCAGAACAAAAAATCCAGAGCAGGGGATTCATGTTGCTAATCATATGTTACACTAAGAAGATACAGTGCAAAGGAAGAGGCCTTTAGAGGTCTTTATTAAAAAAAAAAAACAAAAACAAACAAAAAAAAACCAGCGTAAAGATAATAATTTTAATTTTAAAAGAGGAAAGAGATTGAATTGAATTGTCATAGAATGCAGTTATAGAACATCCAGGTGGCTGAAGAGGAATTGTTAAAATACAGGACATTACGATTTTCTTTGTGAAAATTGTATACATTTGAGATCATTTCCATGCTAGCGAATGACATAAATGTGTGTCCTTCTATGGACAGTCCCACTACAACAAAAACTTTCTCATTATATAAATTATCTAAAAGTTCCATATAAGCATTGTAGTAGTTGGGGTAACATAAGGTCTAGAGACAGTGCACTGCATGTTTGGGCAAAGTAATGATATCAAAACTGAACACTTAGATGAACTTTTTTCTGCTTTGAGTACAGTCACAAAGTAGCTTTCTTGCATCTTTGTCATTTCTCCATGCCTGTATTTCTAGATAATGCTATTGGCTATTCTATAAACTTACAAATTTCTTTCATGACTGATTGGGATAATGTTCTTTTTCCTTTTCTGGGAGAAGGGATGAGCAGACTGCTGCAGGCCATGTCTTCCAGAATTCTATATTTAATTCTAGGTAAAGTTCAGAGTAATAATATAGTAATTAATTTCTGTAACAGAAAACTCCATGCTTTTTAACAACAAAATTCAGTAGTCAAGGCATGTCTGCATCTATTATTTTGTCTTGTGTTCTATGTACCTTGCTGAATTCTTTAGGTTCTCATTTTGTTTTGTAAAGTATGTTGAATGGAAACTTCACACCAATGGCAAGGTATTGGATGCAGAGTTTTACCCTGCATTTCTAAGGATAAACTACAGACTCATTCTACATATCTTCTGTTCTGGAAAGCTCGTAAGATAAGATCTAACTACCTCTTAACTTTACCATTTTATCTCTGTTAATGTCTACAAATGCTCAAGTTGGAATATGATCATGTCAGCTTTTTACATCAACACATCCTAAAGAAAGTGTTAGACCTCTCTAGAATTGTTTGTCATCAACTTGTATATCTGCAAAACATGTCATGATTTCAGAACATGCGCACTGGCATGTAACGAAGGGGAAGCTGCAGGTAAATAAAACCTAATTTCCCTGAAAAGCTGTGCCAATAAAAGGCTGAAAATGCTAAACCTTTTGACTATCAACTGGAGTAATTTTAGACTTGAGTGTAATGAAGAAATTAGTTTGAATTTATAATGGACAGGCATTTCTAGATGAGTTGGTAAATTAAAATTACATACAACTTAGAAAACAAATTCTAAGATATATAGGTTAGGAAACAAAAATCCTTTCTAGACTAAATAGATCTAATTTTCTTTCTTTTTTTTTTTTTTAGGGCAAGTTGTATATGCTAACCATTTCATAAATCTAACTGGGGAGAATTTAACCAATATCAGTTTATTTGAAAAACACTGTGAAAATCTTGTATCTGATTTAATAAGCTTGTCCATCCAGAAGTATACCAAGGTAACTTATTTCCTTTATATAGAGCATGGACAGTTTTATGTTTCCCAACAGAAGCATCTGAATTAGATATTGTACCAATGCATAGATGACTTCTTACTGCTAAGTTTTAAATGTAGCTGCTAAGTTACGTATGGCTTAATATCTCCATGTTTTAAAGAGTGTTATTTGTTAAGAGCTCAAATTGTGTTATATTTATTCATGACCATCTGGCAGTTGAATGAGAGAAAAGTATTGAAATGCACTGTGTACGGAGCAGAAGTGAGTGCCACATTTCATAAGTTCAGTGTTTCAGGTTCAATGCCAAACATGGCACAGTCTAAAAGATTTAGAGCTATAATGCAAAAAAAAAAAAAAGTCTCTTCAAACTCTTTCAGCAGGAACAAAGAAAAATAGCTGTAATCCTGGCAGTAAACTAACTGGACGCTTACAGAATGTCATACTACAGTTTGTTGTAATGCTTCTGTTTTCTCATCTTTCTTTTACAGCTCTTTTATGTTTGTCAACAGAAAACTTGTCCTTCTTTTTTCTTTCTTTCTCCAGTTGCAGTGTTTTTCTTCCTTGTTTTGAGGACATGAAGGCTACAAAGTTTCAATAGCATTAGCCAATAAGAGAGCTGTGGAATCTTGTTTGTCTGTGTCATTGTGAAACCTGCTTTAGATCAGCACTTGTGAGATATGAATGCAGGACTGAATTGTATAACTTATGTTTTCATAGTACAAAAACATGAAAAATGGAGTCCTCCTTATTTCGTAATGCTGTTTATAGGGTTGGAGGGAAAATGGCTGTAGTAGCATTTATAAATTGTTCTTTTGAACTGTTTCTCTGGAAAGTTCTCTTACCTTTGAAAATCGGTTTTGATTTATTACATTATCAGATAACTACAACATCTTTCTCCATCAAAAAGAACAAACAAGTGAGTGTAAAGTTGTAAAGGAAGATTTGAGTAGTATCTGTGAACTATTGTGCTTGATAGTAGCCTGTGAAATGTCAGATACTTAAAATGACAGATTGATCCTACTTTCATAGAGCCACATAACAAACAGAGGAGATTGTTGTACCTCAGTGTTTTCTTCAGTTCACCCTAGGCTTGGGCTGCATATCTTGAACTAGTTCTATTCAAGATTAATTTCTCAAGTGGAATTTGGACTTGAGCTAGATACCCTTCTTTAGCTGGTGCCTCCTAATATGCATTTTGTTCTATAATCCAGCAATGAATATAATATTCTTCAAAATTCTGACAGGGCAAACTTGTGTGTGTGTGTGTGTGTGTGTGTATATATATATATATATATATACATACACACTGGGGAAGAAGAAGCTGGAGAGTAGCCTAGTGGAAAGGGATCTGGAGTTCTGGTTGCTGGCAAGTTAAATATGAGTCAGCAGTGTGCCTTGGCAGCTGGAGGGGCCACCTGTACCCCGGGTCTGTCAGGCCCAGCATTGCCACCTGGGTGAGGAAAAGGATTGTTCTGCTCTGCTCTGTGCTGTGCAACCTCACCTTGAGCACTGTGTGCAGGTTTGGGTGCCACAACTGGAAGAAGGACATAAAACTATTAGTATATAAAAGAGGGCTGTAAAGATGGTGAAAGTTCTGGAGGGCAAGTTGTATGAAGGGTGACTGAGGTCCCTTGATCTGTTCAGCCCAGAGCAGAGGAGGCTGAGGGGAGGCCTAATGGCAGCCTGCAGCTCCTGACAGGGAGCAGAAGTGCTGAGCTCTGCTCTTGTGAGGTGTTAGGACCCAAGGGAATGGCATGGAGCAGTGTCAGGGAAGGGTAGGTTGGAGGTTAGGGAAAGGCTCTTCAGCAGAGGGTGGATGGTGAGTATGAAACAGGCTGCCTGCAGCAGGGGTCATGGCTCCGAGCTGCTGGAGTTCAAGGAGCATCTGGACTGCTTTCAAACATAATGTTTGAATTTTGGGTAGTCCTCAGTGGAGCCCAGAGTTGATCCTTGTGAGTCCCTTACAGCTCAGGGTATTCTGTGAAAACTGCTGAAAACACAACTGACACCCATAATGGATGACAGTGTCAGCTCACTAGCATACTAATAAGCTTTGAAACAAGTGAAGCTCATAATATTTGTTAGTATTCTTGAAAGGAGGGACATAAGCACTGATCTTTTATACTCATACTTTCAAATTTGTATCTTGAACTGCTACACCATCAAGCCACTTGGCATACTCAGCCCATTGTGCCCTGTGGTACATTAGGCAGAGAAATAATATCCCCGGAAGTCTATTCTATTCTCAGCAATGCATCCTTGGTACCACACCTGTATTGTCCCAGGAATAAGTCAGTTTGTGGTTATAGCTATTTCTACCAAGGTACTGAACTTGTGAGAGAAGGTATTGACTATCCCTGAGCCGAACAATGTCTCATTTAAACTTTGTCTATCCAATTTCTATATAGTGTCTTGCTTTGTTAGTACTAGTCATACTCTATCCTGGTCAGATATAGCACATTGTGCAGAAGAGATCCTGCTGGCCTGTAGAAAAGCATAGTAGGTGAAAGTTTCTGCAGCAACTGCAGAATAAATGCTTGATAAGTTGGGTATCTAATATTTTCATAAAATTCCCAAGTGTTAGAGTGCATCTGCAGTAATTTATTTTTGAAGAGATCTTTTTGCTGATGAGTCAACCAGAGCACTTTTGAGGCTGCTTCAGTTTTGGGAATTTAGCAGTTAAATAATTAATTTTTGATAGACTTTAGTGGTCTAGCTGCTGTTTATTCTCTAGATAATATTTGCCTAAGATTAATTCAGATTATTGAGGGATTCCCATAATAGATGTTTAGCTAGAAGCATGGAGAGACATAGGCACTGGAAAAACTTTAAGTAGCAACTGTGGAATGTGAGCAATGCAAGCATTTATAATATTTCAGTCTTGGCCTCATGTGGTTCTTAAATTGACACTAGAATCTATTCTGACAATTTTGTAGGTTAAACAAGATTCTTTAGAGAGAGAAAAACAAATTGTCACATTTCTAAAAAAATCTGAATTCTTACTTAGATTTAAATGCATTTAAAACTATTTTGAAGTACTTTGGAGGTGAATGATAAATAAAAATTCTGCATACTTACAGAACGTTATAGAGGTTTGAAACAGAAGCTGGGACTATTGATGATATACTTAGTCTGAATGTGTGGGTTTTAGTCATTCATTCTCACTTCTGTAACATCTCTATCATAGTGCTGCTACTGTTATTGGCATTGTGTATTTTGATTTAACTTTTAATTTTCACTGTTAGGTTGCCAAATCTGAAATTAGTTTAAGTGCCAGTGTCGTACAAGAACCATTCTAAATGAATGGATCAAAAAGAGCAAGAGGACATAAAAATCCAATTTCAGCATATCTGATTTAGGTATCTAGGAATTAGCTGGCTGGTCATCCTAGGCTCCCTTTATTTGTCAGGAAAGTATAACAGCAGTTTCTTCCTCCTGTGGAGAGTTAGATGAATAAATCTCTATAGGTGCCGTTCCCCTCTTTAGAAGGATGTGGGCTTGTTATTCTACTTGGAGTTCTGATTGTTAAGCAATAAACTGAGTATAAGCTGATTTGTCTTACTCTTTTCTTACTATGTTTCTGGCATTTTGTCCCCGCTGAAGGAATTATGCTATTTAAGCAAAGTTTTTCTCGCTGTTTTACTACCTCTGTACACAGCTCAGTAGATTCATAAGTCCTAAGACAGAGTAAGTAAAAGTTATGTCTGTACTATAATTATTTCAAATACAGTGCTGTTAGGTCTTAAAAATATCAAAGTGCAGAGTGAATTTTCATGCATTTAGCATTTTCTTTATCTGTTTTGCTTATTTTGTTTCACAATTCAGGGAATGTGAAACTTATAGATGAATCGCAAGAAGAATGCTTTGCATTTGAAATGCATCAGTCAGAGTGATTTTTGTTAAATATGGAATTGTAATCAAATAATGTACATGACTTGAAATATGCTGTTTTCTGCATATTAAAAGAATGCTTGCAGTAAATCTACCAAAACGCAGATTTTGTGAAATGCTGTGGCAGCATTAACATCTTCATGCCAACAAGAACATATTCTACTAGCATTATGCCTAGTCATTACGGATTTTTCAGTTAAAAATAACAGCAATAATAGCTATTAAGTCATTTGAAATCTTTTTCTTATCTTTTCTATAACATCGAGAAAATATAATCATTTTTCTCTTTTTCATACTGTCAAACAATGAATCAGTATTTATTGCAATTTGCTTTCATTTAGGCCTCAGAAACCCTATTTTCATTAGTGTAAATAAAGTTTGAAAGTGACTTAAAAGAAGCTTAGAAATAGTACAGTCTATAATGTATGTAAAATCAGGAAACAGTCTTTTATTGTATGAAATACATATTTTGGCTGTTAATGGAATGATATACTTTCTAGTCTGTAACTGTAGCCATGTTATTTAAGTGCAAAAAATAAACCAAATCAAACCCCACACCAAAACCAGAGAAAATATGCAACTTCAGAAATTACACTTCTCTGAAAAAATGTATTGTGTATTCTCTTTTAGGTAAGACCTTCTGAGGCTCTTACTAGTCACCATTATCCCTGCAACTGCATTAAGGAATTGTGGGTTCTACTTATTCAGCTGATGGACTTCAGAAATAAAGGATCTCAAGCAGAGGTAATGGAAGAATGCTGTTACATATGCATGCATGTTACAAATGCAGTGCATTTGCCAAATGTTCCCAGACTGCTGTGAATGCACTAGTTCACATATCTGATGGTAAAACTAAGCATCATTTTTCCTTGAGAACTGCATGCTCAGAGTGATGCTTTAAGCCATGTTCTTTAATGTGCATCTCTAGGTTTTGCAGTATGCTGTTTCATTGCATCTTAAGGTAGTGTTAAGTAGGTCATTTTGTGCTAAGGAAAACAAACAAACAAACTGGACATTGTATAATAGGACATAGTGAAAAAGAAAATATTTACCCACTTTTTAAAATCATTATTTTGCAATTTGTGTTATATCATATAACAATTCATTGCTCGGTGCTAGAAAATGTAGATCAGTCAAATCAGTGATCCATCTGGCCTGTGTTTCTGTCTTTGGTACCTATACTTCAACTATCTGTAAAAGAACAACCTGGTTTTTGATGCTTATAATTGCTTATAATTTGATGCTTACACTTTACCCACATCAGCTGGGTGAAAGTGCAAAGAAGTCCCAGAAAAGTTCTGTACAATTAGGGAAGATAAACACGGGCTGAGAGAGGGCATAATATTCTATAGATGGGGATCTGAGGAAGAATAATCAATTTATCAGTGCTGGAAGAGACTGACGACAAATCTCAGTTTACTGTCTTCAAGACTGATTCTTTCTCATCACTAGCTTTTCCTTTGTTAGATTAGTCTGTGGCTAAGAGTTTTTCAAAAATCTGTTGTATAAATTCTTCATTAAAGAACATTAATTTCTCTCTTTTGAAAACAAAGTTGCTGGATTCAGTCTGTACATTGTCATTCCAGCTGCTTGTAACTTTGTGAGGTATCATATCATGTTCTTCCTTGTGACCAAATCTTTTTGTTTCACATTGATTTCTACTAGTAAGAACATCCTAAGATAGAGCATGTAAGATAGCTCAGGCTTTCTCTGATAATATTTTCTTTAAGTAATTGTCATATTGCTTGTTCTCTGTAAAAATGAAATGATTGGTACAACAGTAGAGAATGTTAACATAGCCTTTAATAACACATTACCAATTTACTTTCACATTTTCTTCAGTGTTTCTGGAACTTGGTGAACAAAAATCTAAAGAGCATCTTTGAGAGACCTGAAAGCAGGTCTGTTTGTGAAACAGCTCAGTGTAAAGATCCACTGAGTTTTAGCTTGTGGATTGTTACTCATCTGGCATCTCTCTACCAGTTTGACCGTAATGGAAACCTAGAAGACAAGGTGGGTTTACTTTTTCCTAAATACCTGAAAGTGATAGTATTTTATTTAGTTCTGCAATTTTGTTTGCTTTTTTTGTTGATGGAAAACATTTTATATTATAATAAAGGAATTTTCTCATGTTTAAGAAAGAACCTATTAATGTTGATAGTATTAATGAGCACTTTATACAAGTCACTAACCATTCCAGGAGCTCTTGATATCTTTGTCAAATGCTAGATATTCAGTAGATTACTGTATTAAGGAAACTTAGTCTGTACTAATTACTAGCTCACTGTAAGATGTTTTAAGACCCACTGTCAGTATGATAAATGTTTCACCGAGTTTGCTGTTTTATGGGCTGAACACATTAGTTTGTACTGTAAGAAGTACGAACATTAAACACTGCAATTTATACTATCACTTTCAAAAAAAAAGGGAAAAAAAAGTAGCTCTGCTCTGGAGTAATTCTAATCCAGTTAATTTATTTCATATTGGTATGTTGAGGTGCAATATATGAGCATATATATATATATATATATATATACGCTCATATATATATATATATATATGAGTAGTGTAATCCATGTGAATATCTCATAATAGCACTGTTTAATAATTGCTGAATTCAAATTTCTGGTAGAAAATTTCAAGATATTTGCCTTTAGGACATGGTCTCAGCTATTCCTACCATGAAGCCTGCAGTTATTGACATTCTTTTCTGTGAATTTCATTGAGGGATTTGATGTTACCATATACTCCATGAGGGTGGCAGTGCTGTCTAGATGAGACCTGTACATGTCATTCTTATGTTTAAGATGTACGTGGGGCTGTGCTTGGTACTGATGAATGAAATTCCTGCATGGCCCTCACTCTAGTTTTCTTGATCCTTCTTTCAGTATTATGCTCTGATATTCATCCTGCCTAGTTTTAACTTTGTAATCATTAATTTGGAAGGAAATAGGCACTTGCTGAGAGGCAATTCATCCATCTTGAGAGGTATGAAAACTGCCAGTTTTCCTTAATTGACTATAAAGGGACCTGAATAGAAGCTAAAGAGGTAGCTGAGGACCCAGCAATGCAGATGTTTTGTTTGTTTTACATGCCAGCAGAATTTCACCGGTTTCCTAAGCATCAACTCTGTATTTCTTACAGAGTGTATTTTATTATTTGTAATTTAATTATGTCTGTTAAAGGGATGTGACGCATGCGGTTTCTCTGTTGAAGTATTTTCCAAGATACCAAAAATGATTCTCATTTTGACATAGGATGAAATATTAAAACCTTGAAAACAGGTTTATGAACTGCAGAACTACAAAAAGGGGAGAGTCAGATCAAAATAAACAGATCAACTGACATAACTTTTTGGTAACTTAAAATGACTGTTTGATCTTTTAATTTTATGAAAGCAATTGTATATAAACATTATAGGGATGAAAAATGTTAAAATGTTCAATTTAAACGTAGAATTGTAGACCATGTCTGGCTGTTATACTGAAGGTTGTCTCAACCTTTCCTTGCTTTTGCTCTGTTATTGTACTGGGGAAGGGGGAGCCCCAGTCCATGGTATGTTTCAGAGGAATGCTAAGAAGATAGAATTACAATGCTCTGTGCTTACTAGAGGAACTTTAAATGGAGAGGAAAGGTTATTTCCAGGTTGAATGCAGAAACTACTATGTCATTTATCCTGGGTTTCTTATGTTTGTGGGTTTTTTTGCCCCAGTCAGAATGCAGTGATACTGTTTACTTTGATCTTTGTTTTTTTCCTCTGTTTCTTTTAGTGGTACGTACCATGTATTTAGCCTTGTGAGAGATGATTTTTTGCCCAAGGCACTATGTTATTTAAATAAGCCAAGCAGACAGAGAATGGGAAAAAGGATTCCTGTTGTTCTTATTTTAAAGAAGGAATCTGAGATGCAGCAACAGAAAGGGATTTGCCCAAGATTAAACAGTATTTTTTTTTTTTCCTTAGAGCCCACCTAGGAGAAGAGAATTTCCAAGTCCAAATTTGTAAATCACAAGATCGCACTGTACGCACTCTTCTTGATGTTTCCCATGCTCTTTATGTTCAAACTGTTAGCTGTACTTTACATTTCTCTGAAAGTGGTTGTGAGTTTGTCCAGGGATCCCTGTTCTCTTAAGTGCTATTGATGATTACCAAAAAAAAAAAAAAATCAGAACACTATACACCACAAGAATGTAAATTGTCGTAAGTAGTTGTGTAAATAGTAGACTGCATTCATTTCCTCTTGTGTTTGTTTGTTTCTGAAATATATCCTCAAACATTCTTTAGAGATAAGATTAAAAGAGTCCTTGATGCAATTTTTTTTTTTTTAAACAAATGACATTACGTCAGAACTTAATGTTGTCCTGTTTTGTTGGTTAAATATCTGACGTGATAGCTTCGTGGCACACACTTTCTTTTAATTAACTGTGATCAGAGGTGGGAGGGCGATGTGTCATAATGATGGTTATTCATGTGCTTCATAGCAAGAATTGCCTCTAAGCCTATGTCGTCTGTAGAAGATTTTCAATTTTTTAATGTGGACTGCATGGCCTTGAGGTTATTATGAAAGCTTTTAAAATTCTAAATAGGTTTCAGACTTGCTTCTTTTTATTTTTCCCCTTTAGCTCATATAACGTAATTTCAAATATGCAGTGATTCATATATATTAAATATATAATTCATACACATGAAGCCATTTTTAAAACTAGAAAATTTTGGCCAGGCTTTCTAGATGCTGTTTTCTGAGGAAAGTACAGTGTATACCTCTTTCATGAACCCCACATTGAGGTCCCAATTCACTATTCTGAGAAGCTGGATTTAAAATCCAGATGGGAACTGGTGAGAAAAATTGCTGCTTGTGAACATTGCAGGGGTCAGTTTCAATATACTATGGACTGAGGAAATACAGACAGAATTACTTGAGGCTAAGAATTCTTGCCTTTAAATGATTTGAAATGACTACGTGGCAAGATATGCAAACATGGGCTTCCAACTGAGAAGCTTGCTATGGATTTCCAGGTAGGGAGGTGTTAGTCTCTGTAGAAGTTTCTCTCTGAGAAGCCAGAGGGGCCCCTACTTAAGGTTTTGGTTTTCGGAGCAGTTTTATATACTTCAGGGTCTGCAGGTCCTGCTGATTCTAGGGTTATTTGAGAGTAGAGGGAGGGATATAGTAAGCCAGCAGATCTGGAGTAAAAGATGCAGATTCTACATATTCTCCGACAAAAGTGGATTTCAAACAGTTGCGATGCCATATTGCCAGTGTAGCAGAGAATACTGTTAGGATGTAAATTTACTGAGATTTGAATGAAACATCTGTTAAAAGAGACAACTGAAGCTAAAAGAAGAGTGCAGCAGGTTGTTGTGCTGTTCTTTCCCGAGTCTGAGTTGAACCTGAGTACGATTTTATAATCAGTTCCAGTTGGTGACAAGAGTTTGCCATAGATTACTCCAGAATTCTGTATGGTGACCTGTATACTGCAACTGAGCTGGAACTTTGCCTATGGACACCTTTTGTATAAATCACGTGTCCTTGGGCTATGGAAGTGCTAAAAGCGTGCTCTGAGCAAGTTGCTCCAGATAACCAGTGGCCTCGTAGCCATTTGGCATGATTCCTATACTATCTATCTCTGAAAATCTGGCCTTTGAGCAGACAATTAACTTCACTTGGAGTTTGCAGCAGATGCTGTAGATAATCGCATAGTATCAGTTCTTAAGATGTAGCAGTCAAAATACAAAGCAGAGATGCAGTGATCTCTCCTTCTGACATGGGTTTTAACTGACACAAAGACTTCAGTATCAGTAATAGCTTAAGAAGTCCTCTTTACCACCTGATGTATGATACACCATTTGCTGTTCCAGTGCAATTATTTGTGCCCCTGTTCCATCATCTCAGTCAGGCCCTCTTCCTGTTTTTATCCTCTTTTCTCTTAATGCTCTGGTTAGGTCACTGCATCAGTTCACATCGGGTCCCACAAGCAAAAGAATCAGAACAACTGGCCAGTAGAATGTTGTGAATGTGAGGGCAGGATGAGAAGGAAGCAGCTCCTTAATTGATACTGCTGAAGTTTCTAAATTATGAGATCTGTAGTGCAACTTCATGCAGGCCTGTCCCTTTATTCATATTTGTCCTGTAAATAGTCTCGATAACATCAGCAGCTTTTCAGAATATTCCTTTTTCTTTTTCCACAGTGCAGAAGTGTAAATCCACAAAGTAGTCAAATTATGTTACATAAGTGTTTATATACCTCTCTTTTTTAAAGTTGGCCTTAAATTCTCTCAGTACAGTTAGAAATTCTGTGTGGAATTGTCACCAAGTCATGACGCTAACTAGAATAATCAGTAACAGAGGAGGGCAGGGGACAGTAGCATTTCTGCTGGAAAGCAGTTATTTCCATTACAAAGCATATGATGCTCTTTATCTTAAGCTCTGTACAGGTACATTTAAAGGACAGGTATCTGCAAAATAATTTGTAAGGTTTAACAGTTGTGATAGTGGAGATAGTAAAGCAGAACTAATGATGAAAATACTACAATCATGCATCTAGATAATCAACACAGGATGTTTATGTAACTGGGTATAAGAGTTGATTTTTGGTACTCCTGGGTAATCTAGTTGTAGCTGAGAATTGTAAATGTGTTGGCTTGGTTGCCTTTTTGTTTTTTTTTCTTGGTAAATAACCTTACTTAGAAAATCATCTACCCTTTTCTACTTTCCCTAAATCCTTTTTTTTTTTTTTTTTTTTTAATATACTTTTCAATGCAAATCTTTTACTTTAGTAGCATGGTCTAGTTGATTCAAATGAATAGTCATCTCTCTTCCCAAGATGGGAAATATGGATTATGGGCCATGTTTGACCTATCCTGTGTTTTTTTTTTTCTATCTAGATCCTTACTATTTGTCTGCCTCCATATTCAATTGGTCTTTGATTTTAGAATAGGAAAAATGAGTTAGAAGTAGTTTTTCCCTGAAAAAACAAGGAAATTAAGATTGTGCCTTTTTCCTACCCTTTATCTTCTTTTTAGAGATTGCTAAATGCATACATTTCAAGACTTGTTTATTATTTGTATTATTGAAAATGACGTTTTGCTTCTTTACTAGAAGTGAAGGTTGGAACTGCAGATGGGCCACATAAATCTGTTAAAATACCATTATTCTGGGTTTTTGTTCCTTGTGGGTTATTTTGTTTTTGTGTTTTTTTGTTATTGTTTATGAGTCCTAATTTTAGGCCAGGTAACAATTATATTCATAAAATGGAATACTTGTTTTTTAGTGGTGACTACAGTATGCTGTCATGAAACAAAATATTTCTGTAAATGTCTTCTTATTTTTGTTATTACGTAGTGGTTCCTGTAAGATATACCAATGTTAGCTCATGCTGATAATCATTATTTTTCAGAAACATAAGGAATCCAATTGGAAGTTTGTGGAGGAACTGCTTAAAAATTCCATCGGTGCTCAAGTAAGTGCGTAAACGAAGAAAAAATGAATAAGGGAAGTGTCAGGGTTGCTTCTGGAAAAGACGGTGCATGAAACAAAGACCAAATAACGAGTGTATTTTTTGAGTTCTAGTATATTTATCACAGGTAGATGAAAATCCTCGATGTAGCTTAACTATAACAGTATACAGTGCCCTCCTTGTTAGCAGTTAGACTTGCTTTTAAGTGGTTGTGCTTGATGCTAAATCGTCAGATAAAGGAAAAAGATAATTATCCAGTAAGGGTAGGTGTATGGCTACTCAGACAAGATGTATTCAGAATAAGAACTGGATGCTTAGAAAATGTAAACCAGATATTGAATGTAAGGATATCAAGTTGAAGAGACATGATGAGGGAGATAGTCAGCTGCATTGAAAATTCAGCTATATCCTCATCACAGCAGGAAGGTGACTTGCCTTGCTGAGCAATTTGTCTTACAGGCTTGAATCAAACTCTTACAGATAAGGTTCTAGTTTCTGAGCACTCATTTCATACCTTATCATTTTTCTTTCTGCAGAACTGTTAATGCAGTGCTTCATGGCCCAGAGGTCAGAATTGACCTCCTTTTAAAATGCTTTTAAATATGCTATTCATCACGTTTTTAAGTGCATAACGTTGCAGCTCTCTAAATTTGTTATCAAGTTGCATGGTACAAATTGCAAATGTTGTAACAGCAGCAACTATAAAAAATATTTCTTTAAATTGTGTGTGCTTAAAATGAGAATCACCATATTTATTTTTGTATTTGGTCTCGAATGAAAAAAAAAAAATCCTGCAAAGTTCTGCTGCTGGAAGCAGAAGAGGAATCGGTATTTTTTTATTACTGTTACTGCCCTGTTCATGCAGTAGAGGCAGCTGTAGCAGAAACAAGAGTGAGCAAAAATACTTCTTACAAATATAGTTTTTACAAAAAGATACTTTGTAGTTGTTAGAGTGGTTGAAACAATGGGCTTGCTATTAAAAAGTTATGTCCCATGTTAACTTCGTGTAGTTCTTTTGGATTAAGACTGGCTTTCGAATGATTTCATGGTATATACTTGAATATATGTGATACACATATACATTAAAACTGTAGTGATTACCTCACTTATTGGATGCTTATCATTTTTTGGGAGAAATTGAATAAATTATGAGATATGAGACATAAGAGCTATGAGTAGTTCATTAGCCATTTTCTTGTGTTGTATCTTCTGTATATCAGCAATGTGAGAACAAAAAGATGGCCTTGTAGTTACATATTTTTTTAAAAAGGTCTCATTTTCTAGTGAAATCTTACTATTATAAAGTTATCTTGAATTTGAATATACCCTAAATGTACAGTTATTAATGCTTTTGTTAAATAGGCATTCATTTGTAGACAGTTTAGTAAGTCTGAGTTCAGAAAATGTCAATGAGTCAATAATGACACAGTAATACAAGGCAAATGTCAGTTTTAAGTTACAAAGGACTTCAAAAGAAGACATTTGCCAAAGCTATGTTTGTAACCAGCAGTCTTAGGAGCCATCTACCTGTCTCTATGCATGTATGTGCAAGTGAATATTATGTACATTAAAAAATGCACTGTTCTTCCTCTTCTTGCATATCAGTTTTCTTGACAGTGTCTGGGAGGGAAGTTTTCTTTCACCTGTAGGTATGTCCAGCTCCTCTGCTGGTCTCCGAGCTTCGTGTTGCTGCTCTTACCTTTTCAGCTATCTTATTGTATCTTCTAAGCATCTCCTAAATGAGTATTCCTGAGTCCAGAAAAAAGTTGGAATGAGAAGCACAATGGAGTATTGAGAAGTCACTGATAGTAGAACATGGATGAGCAGGGAAAGAAAGAAAGAAGGGCGCAGAATGCTATTTGTAATCAACTAATGGGATAGTACTGAAGATATTGCCCACTAAGGCTTGGCTTTGCTTTTAGGCTGAATCTTACCTAAGCCATCCTTTTAAACATGCAATCTTTTATTTAGAGTAGAGTAGCAGCAAATAAATTGGAAGAACATAGTGAATCTCTCATTTGCAAGACAGGGCAGGAATTAGTAATTAATACCTTCATTTCTGTTTTGGTGTTAATGACAAAGGTAAAGCTGGTCTGCAAAATGAAAATTGTTGTGATAGTGATATTAACAAATATTAAACATTTGTATTCTAAACAACTAAATTTATGGGATGTCAGTATAATATGAAACTTCTATTGTAAGTGAGAATCAAAAGGGTTTTTGTTGTTAGAAATGATGGCAGTCGTTCTTATTAGCCATCTCTTATTTGGAGTAATAAATGTTTCAGGATTGTTTGATTTCTGCTTTAATTTTATTATGCCTTCACTATTTCAGTGTTTAATTCTACTCTAGAAGAAATACAGAATTACTTCTTGTAGTTCTAGGAAACCAATTTTGTTACTTCAGTAGGAGATCATCATGGAAAACTGTTGCTTTCAGATAATACTATCATTTTGATAGTATCTGATGTTCCTCCCTTCTGCAATAAATTAAAAGCTGACTACCTCAAGAGTTCTAATAGCGTTTCCAGCAGCACAGGAGATCGTTTTAAGCAAAAGTGCAATGAGAGAATCCATTATTTCCAGGGGAGTTTGAAGTCTGGAGACTTTCATATTAAATATGAAATAAAACATTCAGTTCTCTCTTGGTTTTGGTAACTGTTATAAAACTATTGTTGAACACATAAGTAATGGTTGGAATAGAAGCTGTTCAAAATACCATGTTTATTGTTGAATTAGTTTGATTGAAACAGTCATTGTTGAGTTGAATCCTAAAAGTAATCCTAAACATAAATTACAGCTTTAGGATTCAAGCATTTTTCTTCCAAAGGATGTGCATATGTGAGGTTTGTTTGTTTTTTCTTGTCTTTTGTAATTGAATAGATGTCTCTAGAGAAATGGATATGTTCATTTGCAGTTTGTTTTATGTCTAGACTCTTGCTTTTATTTGTAAAAGAATAGCAATTGTTGAAAATGGCTGCAGTTCTGTCATCAGGTTTTGGGATGAAATTATTTTTTGAGGGGAGAGACTACCAATTTTATAGGTACTTACATCACGTTTAACAATAATTAAAGATCACTCTTCTTTTGTAGACATTTTTATTGTATGTGTTGTTATATGTAATGTTTTGAATGTGCAATTTCCTGTGACAACCTTTCAATTTTCAACTTACTTTAGAAATATCCTACTTAATTGCTCATGAGAAGATAGACATGATTAGAAGTTAAAGGGGGGAGTAAGAGGATGTATAGAAATTGTAAATCGTAAGAAGGAGCATTGTGAGAGCGGAAGTCCCTCTTTTCCAGTAACAGTTACTTAATGAAAGACCATTAAAAACAACAAACAACTTTGCAACCTAATGTGGTATTTTTCATTACCCAGCATCACTGAGTGGGGTTCTTGTTTTGTAACATTTTTCTAGTTTTTATTATTTTAGTTAAACTTTTTCTGAATTAGATCGACTTGGGATATATGTAATCCAGGACACTGTAGACTGTAATTGGAACTGGAAGATATAACTTTCAGATATTTATCTGAGACATGAAAGAGGTTCTGTGCCCTTCTTGACACTATGATTTTAAGTTGTAAGGCTCATACAGAATCATAGAATTGTTTATGTTAGAAACGACTGTTAAGACCATCTTGTTTGAAACTGATAAAGATTCAAAATGTTTTTGCAAAGGAACTCATTGGTAGTAGTAAGAGGCTTATTTGCTGTTCATTTAGAGTTGTCTGGGATGTTATCAATGTAGCATGGTTGCAAAAATTTTGGGGATATGATGCTGAAATTAATGATCCTCCTCTTTGCTATGCTGTCAAGAGAAACATGAGGTCTCAAGACAGGTGTGCCTCCCCTCCGTATCAATGGTGCATGAACTTTCCTTTGGATATATGTGACAAATGAATTTAAAAGCTAACTGACTTGCACATTCATGCACCATTTATGTTCTGTATGGTCCTCTACCATACAATTGTGTTTCAAGTTAGGCTCACTGTGTTGAGATTGCTGTTATCTTAATGTGTCTACAACTCTGTGGACACCTAAAAGGTTGTATAATGAACTACTGAGCAGGTTGCAGGGAGATTTGCAGGGCAACACCCATGTGTGTTTGTCAGCTTATCTCGAGTTCATTGCTTGTCTTAGTAGGTGCCATTTGCTCAACATTATATGACCAGAAATAATGTTTTCATTAAAAAATCATTCTCAATAGTCTGATAGTGTTGGATTTATAGGTAGGCAAGGTGATACTCCCCTCCTAAAATAAAATTTTTATTCTCCTTGCCAGACTGGTGTGTTAGAGGAACAGTTACGAATGCATCTTCAGTGCTGTTTGACTTTGTGTCATTTCTGGGACTGGAACCTATCTGTCGTTACCATACTCTGGGATTATTACAGCAAGAATCTGGTAAGTAGATGAGTAAATTGAAATAAAGAATTGCATGTGGATATTCTTCAATTTTTAGCAATTAATTCAGATTATCATTTAGCCAAACTACTATGCTTTTGTAAAATTGACTAGACAATGACAGTAACTCTAAATTTGCTGTGTTCGTTTAAGAAATTGTGTTTAAACATATCTTATGATTTGTTATGTTATGCCACAACAGAATAAATTAGAATGTATTTGTATTCTTAATCAGGACTACTTATTTGGATTTTCTATGAAGATGCTTTGCACCTTTACAATGTGTTTTTATTTTTGGAATTGCATAGAAGCTTGCCCTGTAGAATGATAGTTTCATTAAATTTGGAAAGACCACAAAGATCATTCAGTCCAACCATCAACCCATGGATATCATGCCACTAAACTGTGTCCCTCAGTGCCACATCTACTATTTTCTTGAACCTCAAGGAACGATGACTCCATCACCTCCCTGATCAACCTGTTCCAATACCTCACTGCTATTTATGAGAAGAATTTTTTCCTAATATCCAACCTGAACCTTCCCTGGTGCAACTTAAAGGCATTATCTCTTTATTGTTTGTGTGAAAGATTTTATCATGCTGTCTTACAAATATTAACATTTATTATTACTTATCTTCTTAATTGTTTTATTTATTCTTTTAGAACAGTTGCTTTACTGTTCCTTGGCTTGGTCTGAAGGGTCTGGCAAGTATTAGTAAAACTTCTTTGTCAATGCTTGAGTTGGTGAAAAGTTGCTGTTGTGAACAGCAGATTCCCACCTTGTACAAGTCCAGCAACAGTTACCTCATTTTTCTCAGCATTTTGGCACGGATGATGAAAGAAGAGGCAGAGAACAGTGGTGTGCATCCTTGGAAACAAATCAAAGGACGGTATGGCTGCTATTTAGCTTGTCTCGCTCAGTAAGAGATCTAGTCAGTCTGACTGCATGGCCCTTTGAGCCACATACTAAGACAGAATGGGGTGCTATGCTTGTGGGAAAGTAAAGAGGATGAGGAATGAAGGGTGATTCACAAGCTGAAGAAGGCAGTTGTCCCCTTAAGTTTCAGTTGTCAGCTAAGGCTGTAACAGGTGTCTAGCTGGGTCTAAGAGTCACCTTGACATTTGCAGCCTGTGATGATTTACATTGTCCCACCAGCCAGAAATTGGTATACTGGCAAATGATGCAGAGGTACAACTCTGTTGCCAATAGGGTAATATAATTAAAGCACACAAATTTTGTTTTGAGCTTCATGTAAGCAGTGTTGTCCAAGAACATGCTACCTGGCTCTTGCTATCCCTGCAATTCCATTTATATTTACTTTTTTATCATTGCCAATATTTCTCACAGTGTTTTTTGCTGAGAGTTTTGCTTTTTTATTTAATTTTGAAACATGCTAATTAAGATATTTATTAAGTCATGATATTAAAAAAAATGAAATATATATGCTTTAAATTCAAATCTTGATTTTGCATACTTATTAAATCTTTAACACTTTTAGTAATTATATTGTACTGATCACTAAAGATTCTGATGCTTAGGATTATTTTCATTAGATGTAACAGACATAGAATTAGTTTTGCTTTTACTGGTTTTGATTTTTAAGACTTTATTAAGTACTAATCTCATACTTCTGTATGTAAACTAAAAAAAAAAAAGGATAAAATGCACATATTGAAGGCCTACAAGGCTATGTGGTGTGTTTCTTCCAAAAAAGAAAGGTAGTCTTTCCTGTGAGAAGGAGAAAATGTGTGCTGTCTATATAAACTTCATGGGTTGTTACAATCAGTAAAGTTTGGGTTTAAAAATTGCTACAACTACACATTGAAAGAGATATATTATTAGATGTGGAATCAGTGTCTTGCTTTAGTTAGTAATTTAAATTAGCCTGCTTCATTTTTGCTGAAAACAAATTATCCTTACGTTTTTGTTGTTATAGCTTGTTACTTTGCCTAATTTAAGAGGGGGAATAATAATACACAACACGCTTTGTCAGTCTGCTCAACCAGTATTCATTGCATCTGACTTGTATAAATCAATTACACAAGTAGCAAAATTTAACAGCCTACAGCTATGATTTTTGGGATGAACTCTATTTTCAGCAGCTAACCAAGCATTAATTGATGCATGAAGAACATAAACGCCTGTCAGTAGTAATTTACTACCAAACAACATTAATTGGATTTGCTATAATTTTTGGTGGCTAGATTTGATAACCTCAGCACCATTTCCAACAATTTTTCCAGGTGACAGGATAGAAAAACAGCCTTTAAGGATGTTTAACTCACTTTATGCGTGTGGAATTTATTTTAAAGGTGAAGCATATAGCAAAGTTCTTAATTTCACAAATAAGAAGTTAAGCAACCCATTTTCATCTTATTCCTGTGTTGTAAGACTGGTGACATTTACTTAAAAGTCTAGGCCTGGGCTAAAGTCACATGAAAGAGTTTCTGCTTTCTGTGTGAAAGCTTTTTGCTTTTTACTTTTCTGTTTTGTAACTTTCGAGTTGCAAAGTAGCAGTGCTTCTCACCATCAGCTATGCATAACTTGAGCACTATCATATAAGCAGTACAGCTTAAAATTTCTTAAAATCAGCCTGCTAGAATTTTATGGTTTTTTGGCCTCTTTTTTTTTTTATAAATAAAAAACAAGTTTTGTTACTTAGCTACATTGACTATATTATATATTTTATATGCAGCCCAAGACAATTCCTCTTCAGTCAGTGCAGCTCAGGCAAGCCAAAGTATTGGATGCCCACTTGTTAGATTGAGGTTTTTTTTCCCAAATACCTGTTTTCTTGTTTTCTTCCAAACTTGTAGTTCTCACTCCATAAAATAGGTGTACAGTAAAGGACAGTATAGACTTTCATGAAGTACTCTGGGGGAAAGGAGCTTTCCATCGAAAATCTTCCATTTCGTTTTACTGCAGTGGTGGTAAAAAAGGTGAAATTCAGTAGTATTATGTAAGAAGAGAAATGTGTATCCAAGTAAATCTATGCTCTGTCCTAAGGATGGAGGGTCCCTGCCTGTTAAGTTTTGTGTGTATGTATGTATGACTTGTTTTGGTTTTTAGTCTTCTGGGAACCACCTGAAAGTAAATAGAAAATTAAATATTTCAAGAAAATTTTTTTGTTGTTTTGCTGGATTTTTTTTAATGTTTTCCATTTTATTTATTTTTTTTAATGTAGAATTTATTCCAAATTCCATCGGAAAAGAATGCAGGAACTGACAGAAGTGGGGCTGCAGAACTTTTTTAACCTGTTCCTCCTGCTAGCAATTGTTGCAGAAACAGAAGATATAGTGAGTCGAGTGCTGGATCTTTTGGATTTCCTGACTCCATCCTTGGTTAGCCCATCTCAGAGAGCTCTCATTTGGAGAGGCCATTTTGCTTTCCTTCTGATTTATGTTGAGAAGAATATGGACATTAGTGTCCTAGCTGAGAAACTCTCAAATGCTTTTCGTGTCAAGGCAAAGGAGTTTTTAGTAACCAAAAATGACTACACACAGAAACAAAATCTCTGGACTCTGCTTTCAACATACATCGATGGTGTCCAAGAAGTGTTTGAGACCAGCTGCTACTTGAGCCTTTCTGAGGAAAAGTTGCTAAATGATGGCTTTACTATGCTGCTGCCTGCTTGTCGAGGAGCTGAACTGAGTATGGTCTTGAATTTTCTTCAGGTTGTTATAGCCAGACTTCGGTAAGTAATTTTGTTAGACTGTGGATATAGACTGGCACATTGTTTTATGTTCAGAGTTAAACTGTAATTCATATTAATTTCCCACTGAAATAGAGAAAAAGGGAAAAAGGAAATAGACAGTTTTGAAGGATTGTGAATGATGCAGTAAATTTTTATACCCACCAATACATTACTGCATTCGGAATCTTAAAAATGTTTTCTTACTATTTCAGGTCATTAATTCATTACAAAATATCAGGGACAGAAAGCCTTGGTGAATATTCTGTTTTACAGACTTCATTCTAGTTTCTGTTTTCTCGCCACGTTTGTCAAGGTTGCAAACAAATAAAACAATTATGTAGACTTACATACTTTTCTGGAAATACTTACCTAGAAAAGAAGGAAATCATATATGACTTTGGAAACTGCAGTTTTGCTTTGATGTGTTAGTTCAGTTTTTAGCATCCATCATACCCTTCAATATTTTTGTCTACAGATTCTTTTTAGAGGTAGTCTTCCATTTTGAAGCCCAAAGATATTTTTAAGATAGTAAGAGGCAGCTATTGATTTGCCATTACTTCGAATGTGTGAGACTGAAATACGTGAAAAGAACTGTAGAAGAGTGCACAACAGGAATAGTGAGGCCCGTATGCAAGGTCTCTTTTTAACTAGCTTCCTTTTTATTGTCTAGTAGCTTTGACTGCAGCTGTCAATAGCTTATACATCCAAAGTGACAGTTTTTTCAGGCAGTCTTTTCAAAAAGGATGAAGCGTGAAACTAAGTTTACTTGATTTATTATTTAGTATTTCAGTTCAACTGAATGTATTTGCTGGAATAAATTGGAGACTTCAAAAATGCTTTGACATTTTCTTCATTTGCTAATACAGAGCTTTTGTTGTTTCTTTAAGATGAAGTAGGGAGACTTGTGAAAACATTGCCTATTTCATAACTTGACATTTGTCTGAAAGCTTCCAAAATTTGAGGGCTATGTAGTCCTCTTGTAACATAGACAGAAGGACATGGACATCTTTCATAAGACTTCTGAGGGCTAGGTACTGTATTCATACCTTTTCTTACTAAAAGCAAGTTGCTGTAATATTTGAGCTAGTGAGTCGCTCAAACACCAGTTGGCATGTGAGCTATCATTAGAGCCTTGTTTCTAACTGGTCTTCATTTCAATGTATACATTTGGTTACCTGCCTATTTATCACACCAATTACAAGGTTTAATTCCATGAGGCTTCTAAATACATTGTGATCTTGATGGTACAGGAAATAGTAAAGTGTTGCCAGCTGCCTCTCCTACTTCTGAGAGTCTCGCTGAAGAATTTGTCCTCTGTTGCCATATGAGTAAAACACAAAAATGTTTTTTTTTTGTTTGGAAGAGTTGGATGACTGTGCTAACCAGAGGTGAAAGTGGTGTTGGCTTAACCAGACTGATAAGAGCTGATCTGTTTGGAAATGTGTGAAAGGATGAAATGGTTCAATGCAGTTCTCTCAGCTGATTTTAAAATTCAGGCAGATAAAAGATAGTTGGCCTTTCGTAAATGTAATTTTTCTGTACACTGCACTCTAATAATTCTGTAACTGTACAACAGGTAGGAAGGAAGGGAGATCACTGATTAAAGAGAGAAGAAGCTCCCTCTAGGCTGTTAGGAAATAATATCTTCATGTGCCACTTCTGCTAACCCCAGATGATGGCTCACAGGAGCATTCTTCATTGCTGATTACAGAGCATTATGAAAATACTGACTTAGTTGTGTTAACTAAATGCCTCAGTATTTAAAGCTAAAAATGTCAAATAGTTTTAGCACTCCCCTTTAACATATCTTACTGTGTTACTAGAATCACGTTCCAGGTTTCCCAATTCATTTTATTTGAGGCTATTGTAAAAATAGCAATCTTCGATTTGCAGAGTGAGGTGTAGCCAAAAGCTCTTCTTTAATTATAGGTATTCATGCTGCTATGGTTAAGGGTCTGTCAGCATTTCCATTATAAACCTTTATTTTCAAGGGTTTGTAACATAGCTTTGAAAACTTGCTCTGGGCTAAAACTTGGCATTCAGGGTTTTGATAGAAGGCTTGTTTTCTTCCTTTCTTTTTTTCTTAAAAGGCATCTGTGAAGAGACCCCCACCTGCACCATTTTTACACTTCTGTGTTTTGAAATAATCTTTTCTGGGTATTTTTATATTTTGTTGTCTGATAGAAAGATGCTGGTAGCTTTTGACTGTTGTATTTACTTCTGTATTTACTGTTTGAAATGAGTATTTTTAAAGTAATTATTGTTTTTTTAATTTAATTTTATCATGACAAATATTCCGTTGTCCCTATATTTAAATAGAACTATGACTTGGCAAGAGAACTCATTTTTATTTCTTTTTTTATATATGGTGAGTGAATAATTGGAAACAAGATGCTACTTGCTGGAACTTCCAGGGATTTGATCTTTATAGTGAGATTCAGTATGAAGTGTAAGATTATATCTTAATACAGTCTCCTTTTTCGAAGCAACTGTAAAATAATAAACAATCTAGAACCCCTCAAAAACAAAGTGCTTCCCTCCTGTGTTTACTTGAAACATTCATCATCGAGCTCAGACCTTAGTTTTTCCTTTACTTTCTGTCTCTGCTTTTAAACAGTGCTTTTAAATCCTGATTTTATTCTTTAACAAAAGGTTAATGCAGGATGCTTACTCGTGTGCTTTCACTTGCTCCAAATCTCTACCGCTTCCCATCATCTAAGTGCTTCATGACACAGAAAGAAACCTTAGGTTAATAAAAGTACAGGCATTTAATGGATTTGACGGAACTCACTGTAAAAACGGGCACAGGCTCTGAGAAATTTGCTGAGTGCCTGGAAACAGTAGGTTTCAGCACTGCAATATGTTATTCTTAAAAGAAGTGTCGTTTATTGTAATCCAGTATTGCTCTGATATGAGCTTTTGCTCATTATCCTCATCCTGGTATTTGGTTTTTATAATGTACTAGCACTGAGATAGAGAATTGTAAAAATGCAGGTACATGCCTGGGTGGCAAATGGCTGCTGGTACACCAAACATCTTTATCTAGTTTCAGGGAGACATGGTACTGATTCTCATAGGAGAAATGAAAAGTACCACAAATCTAATAACATAATAAACAGTAATGTTATTTTGAAAGCACTTATTGGGTATTTATGCCCCTTGTGTACTGCACTGAAGGACATGAGAAGTTATTGAAAATTTCACTGTGTACATTTTATAAGCTGTAAATGAATACTAGTCAGGTAGACATGCTTCTAATTAAAAGTTATAGTAATAATTGGGCCATGGATAACAGCAGAACTGAATGCTTGTATCTGTTAGACTGTGCCTAGCCTTGAGGTTGTGAGAAAAATCACGATAGGAATGGATTATCCAGTATATCTTTGCTATGGAAATGTGTAGTCATTTGTAATTTTTTTGGTGTTATACTTGCCATCAAAACACCCTGTGGGGAGCTTTTTGAGACAAGGGGAGCCTTTCCCCTGCTCTCTGTCACCATGTAAATCAGCAGATGAGCTCAAGAGGAGAATAGAAAGGTCCTTCCTCCTTCTTCCTCTTTTCTTCCCCCTCAGGGGTTTTAGTGTTAGTCTTTGTAAAAGGTGTTTTTCTGATGTTGAACTTCTGAAAACTATATCCAGAGGAGTTTGGATGAGCACAAGCTTTCTCTTACCCCTTCCATCCCAGAAGTATATTCCAAGTCACCAACTGTGATGCCCAGATAAGCAGAGTGTAGCTCTGTGACTAAACCACTGAACTCTTAGTCAGGAGGTCCTGGTTTGGCTCTTAGATCTGCAAGGCTTAATGAATGAGAATTAGAAAGACAACAAATAGAGTTTGTGAATTTTTTCACCTACATGGAAAATGGTCTTTCCTTTTTGACTTTCCAACATAGATCTTCAATTTGCAAACATGTCTGGTTGTGCTGATTTGATCTAAAGTCTTAAATAGTTTGGGGTGGGTTTTTTTTGTTCGTTTTTAAGTGCAGTAATAATGTTAATAGAGCTGATATTTAAATGAATGTAAGGAAAATTTAGTGAATGTGTGGGAAGCTTGCACTGCTCTAGAATATAGTGATATTTTGAAAGGTTCTCTAAGGTGTATCTAAATACTTTAGGCATCTCTTACAGTTTTCAGTGGCAATACTGGATGTGTTTTTAGCTACAATTACCGCGTTAAAATGAAAATTAAAATTGAAATCTTCTCTTAATCCTACTTTATGAGGGCATTGAGATTCTTTGGGATTATTTTCTAGGATTTTTTTTGTATGTGCGAATTTGTACCTTTGACCCTTGTGTTCTGAGCTTTAGTCACAACTAGCTTTTGTATCCTGTGTTCTGAAAGCGTTACTATACAAGTGAAGGAAATGGGATACAGTGTATGCGGAGGATTGGTTGTGGTTTGCAAGAGCATTCATTTCCACTTCTTGCTGACAGTTTTCTTCAGAATCAAGGTCACATGAGCTGATTAATTTATTAAAATCAATTTCATGTTGGTGTTTAGGATGTAATAGGGCATCTGTCTTAGAATCATGTTAAGAACAAACTGGAATAACAAAATCAAACAAACTTCTGGTTGGCGTAATTTGGGCATCAACAATTTCATTAGAAATACGAAGCCAAAGGAACTCAAGTACAGTACTGTCACATTAACTACACAGATGTGGACTCCATCCCCTCCACTACAGAGTGAAACACTTTTCTGTCTTTTATCCATTTAATCCATTTTTATCTACCAAAAAATAATTCACATAGGCTTTGTGGCCTACCGGACATCAGCACAGAACTTACTGTTATGAAAGTGTAAACTCACAAAAAAAAGAGAAAAATCATATCCAGGTGTACTGAGAACCTGCTGGTTGGGACCCTGCAGTTGTTGGGAGAAATCTGTGCTCCCTGAAGGACATCAAGTGCAGGTTTGTTTTCTGATGGAAGTGTCTCACTTCTGAAACTGTTTTTCCCCCCAGTTTTTCTTCTTTTATTCTTTACACAAGGTATAAAAAT